TGTTGTCAATTTGACAATTATTTGATTAAGCTTGATTGAAAACCCCACCCTTTCTGAAGTTTTTCTTTAATATCTTTAGGTGCAAGCATCGCTTTCATATTTAGTTCCCAGGTCAAATCTGTGTGCTTTTTCTTTCTCTCATGATGACCTCTGATCATCTTGGGAAGTGTTTCCTCAAAGACAGGAAAAGTTGTAGGTAACATGCTGAGAATGAAATATGACTGTTCTTTGAACTTTGGAATATTAAGTAAAACACATGTAGATTACTAAAAGAGCATTCTATGTAAAATGTAGCTGGAATCTTCCTCACTGTCTTTGTCTTTCCCTATTTATATATTTAATTATATTAATGTACATTTTCTGACACGAGGTTATACAGACAAGCTTTACTGGTGTTGAAGTCATGCCTCTTCTCCCTGAAGAGTCTGTGGATGTTGAACTACCTGAGGAAGACCTTGAAATTACCTTTTCAAGGGCAGGAGGGAAAGGAGGTCAGAATGTGAACAAGGTTGAAACTGCTGTTCGGATTACTCACATCCCCACTGGTGTTACTGTTCGCTGCACAGGTCTCCACCTCACTGCTCTTTTAGTTTCAGTTCTTTTGAAGATTTACTGGAAATTTTTATGATATTTTAAAAGAAATTTTAGTATGTGTATTCAGAAAAAAAAAAATTCATTGGTTGGCAATGAGAATCTTTTCTTGGAGAAATACAACAAGGTCATGGCCTTAAATATTCACTGTAATGATATAGTTACCTTTTCTTTACTCGGCTTAGAGTGTGAAGAGTTCATTTATTTGCAAATATGTAAAGTTTTTTGCTGTGGGGGAGGATGGGTTGATTTTAGATTGAAATCATTGGAGACTGAGATGTTAGTGGAGAAGAAGGGTGTATTACAACATGTTCAGGCATTTCTGAAATCTACATACAGAAGCATATTAAATTAAGTTCTAAGAATTTATGGTGACTAGAACAGGTAATTAAGTACAGTGAATTTGATAAGCTTAATCAAAGTTTTGCATATCATCACAACCATCATTGCCATTACACAGTGCTCTATGTGTTGGTATTCATCCTGTTTGAAGCACCTCCAAGAATTGAATAGTCAAAATAGGATGCCTCTTGGATGTTAAAAGAGGAAGAGGAGAGTTTTTTTAACTTTGAATAATCCCAGCTAGAAAGGGCATGTTATTTCCTTCTTTCCTC